CCTCTTTGCCACCTCTTGAAGCTGCTTGTCTTTTATAAAACACTGCACATTGCCATAGCAGTCTCGAAGCACAATAAACTTGCCCAACCGTTGAAACTCGACCCATCCGCAAAGGTTCACCTCTTGGCCGACTAACTGATCATTCACTTGGCCGCAAGCGGTGGATCGATTTGTGAACCGATTCACGTCGCCTCTTATTTGAGGTGAACATCTCTTTGTTTGAGGCTGATGATCTAGATTCTGAGTAAACTCAACGTTTGTTTGACTTGCTGATTTACTACTCAAAAGAGCACATCTTTGCAATGAAATGTTGCATCTCTCAAGTCTTCTTAGGAAGCACTTTGATGGCTTCAGGTGAATCCGCTGACAAGCGATCCGCGATGTCCGTTGAAGTAAGCTTTTGTACATATCTCGGTTGAGGTAAGAATATTCTGGTTGAAGCGGAAATTCTGATGCAATCACATTGGACAAACTGGAAATTCTACTGAAAAGAATAGAAAAAAACGCCGCTTGTGAAAAACCGTAAACAAACTGAAATAGCACACACACGTGAGGAATCAGGCGCTGTAAAAATAGCGTTTTCGAAAATGAATTTTTTTATTGGGACATTGATTTTGATTCTACAATTTGAGCTTCTTCGCCAGACTGCCGCCTTCCGAGCTCTTGGCGAGCGCCTTCTTACGCTTCACCACCTTGCCCGTCTCCTTGGACTCCTGCAGACGCTCAAAGAACTTGGTAGACGAGGAGAGGGCCTTCTTGTCGAAGGTGCCGCCATTCGCCTCGGCTGCTCCCTTTTTAGAGCCCTTCTTCGCCGCCGTCTTCAGCAGCTCAATCTCCGCCTTGTTGGCCTTTCCAACTTGCTTCAGCTTCGCCTTCTGCTCCAGCATCGTCTGCTTCACCGATTGCTTCTNGCCTTCTTACGCTTCACCACCTTGCCCGTCTCCTTGGACTCCTGCAGACGTTCAAAGAACTTGGTAGACGAGGAGAGGGCCTTCTTGTCAAAGGTGCCGCCATTCGCCTCGGCTGCTCCCTTTTTAGAGCCCTTCTTCGCCGCCGTCTTCAGCAGCTCAATCTCCGCCTTGTTGGCCTTTCCAACTTGCTTCAGCTTCGCCTTCTGCTCCAGCATCGTCTGCTTCACCGATTGCTTCTTTTTCTTCAGCCGACGGGCCCGCTTGCGATCAGTGGCCGACCGCTCTCCGGGCGCCTGGAGCACCTTTTTGCCGCGCGTGCTAAAGACCTCCTCCGGCGCGAGCAGTTTCATGTCGCTGACCGTGTCCGGGGTAACCTCCTCCACGGTGATCGCCGGCAGATTGTTGATGATCTTCACCTCGGCCTCGGGCGGACGGGGCGTGTAGTGGAAGGCCGACAGGGCGTCCAGTTTGCGAAAGAGGCCGCGCATCATTCGCCGGACCTCCTTTCGCGTCTCCGTCTCCTCCTGCTCACCGGCGGCGGCAAAGCCGAGCGAGCCGCCCTCCTGTTGCTCCTTCAGTTGCTGCTGCTTCTTGAGGTACTCCGCCTCGTAGACCTCCGCCAGGCCGACCTTGCTCTTCTCCGACTCGAGGAGGATGCGCCGGCGAAACTCAAACGGCTGCTCCGTGGGCTTCTCCTTCCGCTCGACGTCGTCGAAGGCGCCGTCCTTGATGCGCTGCTTGATCAGCCCCTCCAGACTGAGCGTCGTCTGGTCGGTGATGAGCGGCGCCGGCTTCGAGACGTGGTCAAACTGCAGGTGCTCCTCCAGCAGACTGTTCTCCGGGCGGACGTCGCCGGTGGTCTCACCCGCCAGCTGCCAGTGCAGATTGGACGGATGGAGTAGCTCCCGTTCGGCCTTCTGAATGCGCCGCTTCAGCAGCAGCTGACTGCGCTCAAACTCCGACTTGCTCTGCAGGTCGTCCGCATCGAGGCGGTCCGAGTTCAGGTCCTCATTGGCCAGCGCCCGCAGCTTGCGCGTGATCGGGTCGTCCTTGTTGTTCGCTGAAGACCCCTCCTCATCTTCATCGGAATCGGACGCAGCGCCGAGGATGTGATTGCTCATTTCGACATCGTCGTCGTCGTCGGCCAGGTCTTCGTCGTCAAAGTCTCTCGTATCGAGTTCCTCCTCGTCATCGTCACCAGCACCTTCTTCCAGCTCCTCGTCGTCAAAATCGCCCTCCTCCTCATCATCGTCATCATCATCATCATCATCATCATCATCGCTTCCGAATCTTATGTCGTCTTTCTTTTTCTTCTTCAAGGCTTTTTCACTAGGTTCGTCGAAGAAGCTGGAGTACATGCCCCGTTCCTCATTCTCCCCATCCTCTTCGTCGCTGTCAGAGGGAATGTCCGCAAAGTAGTCAATGTCATCATCGTCATCGTCTTTCTTTTTGTCAGGATCATCATCCATCGCCTTGCGGTCCTCAGCGTCAAGAAATGCTTCCATTTCATCTTTATTGAAAAAGTCCACTGCCTGATGTGAATTTCTCTCCTGATCACCATCTCCAGCTGATTCGTCACCATCGTCAGAGAGGCTAAATTTGACCTTTCTGCCGTTTACTTTTTGTTGTTCCTTCTTCTCTGCAGGTTCTTTGGTATTACTGGCCTTAAGAATGCTCTTTACCGCCTCTTCCTGAGTCACGACGGGACTCTTTGATTTAGATTTTGTTTCAATGTTGAGAGTGAACACGGCTCGCTTCGATGCAAGAGAAGATATTTCATTCACTGAACTGTCGATGAAGGGACTGTTAAAGACGTTCAGCTGTTGCCATATTTGTTCATTATCGAAGCCTTTCACGAAAAGGCTCTTCAGTGGTTTGAATGATGTTTGTGAAGACTTTGAAAAAGACAATAACGAGTCCGAGGCTTTAGCGGCATTTTGGCCAAACTCGTAAAGCGACTTGGTCAGCTCTTTAAACTCCTCTGACTTCTCCTCATTAGGACTGAAAGATGAAAACATTGAAAAAATTAGTTCAGGTGAGTTTTTGAAAACCCAAAATACTTACATTATAAACTGATCATAGCTGGCGCAGAGCGAGTCAAACCGCTGCGTGAGCTGGCTCACTGCTAGTTGATTTGCAGATTCTTCGCTGACTGAAGTCGCTGGCTTTGCTTTGGCCTTTTTTCTGGCCTCAGATGATGCCTTCTTTGTTTGAACCATACTGCGATAAAGAATTTGTGATAAGAAAGATAAACTCAGAAAGAACACATTTTCAGCCGCGTGTTTTGCTGCGGCTGCTGTCACGTGTGAGGTGATGTAAGAAAACCATCCGTAGAGGACGTGCATTCCAAAAACACATTGAACATTGAACATGCACTGAAAGAACTTTAATTAAAGAATTGAAAGAATATTCTAGTAACGAGTAATAAAAATAAGATTAAAAAAGTATTCAGCAGGTAGAGTAGAACATCAGCTTTTCAGCTACAACATAAATAATAATATAAAAACGCATTTCAGTAAGAAGTTGTGTAACACAGAAGAGGGTAAATGGAGAGAGATAGAGGATGTGTGATGCTGCATCGGTTTTTAGTTCAGTGTTTGTTGTCCACCCCAAAGAGCCCTCTACACCTCGAGCTAAACTCCTTGACGATGTCCTTCATCTTGCGCTTGTTATTCCGCAGCGAGAGAATGGTCTTCACAAAGGCGACCTTGTGCTCGCGGCTGACACAGGCGCTGGGAAAGGCCTCCGCCTCGACGACGGCGTTGAGCGCCCGCGCAAAGCTGTCCGAGTACTTGGAGTTGAGCGCCATGATGATGTCCACCATGTAGTCGACGGCGAAGCTGGGCGAGCCGTAGGTGCCGCCGATGACGGCGAAGATCTGCGTCACCAGCAGGTCGAAGCGCTCGGCGATGGCCTTGTGGAAGAGCTCATTGTTGCGGCCGTGGGAGAGGAACTCGCTGATGAAGAGCGAACACTGGTGAATGGTCGACTTCTCGGGGAGGAGGATGCCGCTGATGGCGAAGCCGTACAGCGGGCCGGCGTCCAGCTTAGGGGTGGCCATCACCGGGGTGGCCTTCTTGAGGACGGCCGTCGCCTCCTCGTAGAAGACCTGCAGGAGGTAGGTGTGCTCGTGGAAGGAGTCGCCGCCGTCGGCCGCCTGCAGCAGCAGCGTCTGCACGGTGACCCCGACCACGGCCACGTAGTACTCCTGCAGGTGGGGCAGGTGCTCGGGGGAGGAGTGAAAGAGGGTGAAGAGCTGTCGGGATATCTTGAGGACGTGCACCGAGCGGGAGGCGCGGTAGAGGTGAAGGAGCAGCTGGAGGATGCTGCCCACCAGCGGCTGCACGTCGTCCAGCAGCGTTATCACAGACTTCTTGATGCACTCACAGAGGTTCTCCGTGATCTCCTCGCTGTCGCTGAACCGCGAGGCGATCGCCCCAAACAGCGGTAGTACCTGCACAAAAAGAGGTGTTAGCAAAAAAACTGTTCATTCCAAAGAGACATTCATTCAAACTTACCCTTTCAAAGATAATGTAGAGCGGCTGCGGCTTGAGGCAGTTCTTGGCGGACATCTGCACGGCCGCCTTCGACACCAGCTGGTCGCCCTCCTCCAGGTCGGTGCCCTTCAGGTTGATGTCCAGCTTGGAGAAGAGGTTCGCCAGGATGAGCAGAATGCCCGTCAGGTGGGCGCG